CGCCTGTCGTGCCGTGCGAGTTGCCAACGCGCTGGCAGATTCCACCTTCAAATTGATTGCTGAATGTATCTTCCGCCGAGTCCCGATCATTTTTATGCACCCTGAGTCGAGCCTCATCTGGAGGCATCCCCGCTTGTCCCCTCTCCTTGCCTCGTCCTCCTCTTCCTGCTCCCTCGACTGCATGTATGCGGGTCGCGTGAGACAGCGAATCCACCTTGTCGGTTGGGGCGTGCGGGATCTTGAGTGCCTCGCTCGTCGTTGCCTCTGCGCCCAAGGCCTTTGTGATCGCACTCAGAGACGTCACCTGGGAGGCCTGGGGCGTCCAGCTCTTGACGCCGTAGCTCGGGCCTCTGCTAAGGGTATCCCCTCAGAAGTGGCCATTGCTGGCACTGAAATGATAGTGGCCGAAGCTCGTCATCTGTCCCGCGCCGCGAGATATAAGAAAATTGTTGGTCAATGAGTAATTCGGCTGTTGCCACCTGGTCAGACTAGCGTGTGGTACCGAGTCTGTGCTTCACTGCTGGCGTAGCGCTCGTGGCCGCCCTCCGCCGTTCGCACAAAGATGGAACAAGATGGCCCCGAATCGTCCACATACAGCGACTTGTCGGCATTTGTGGCAACTCCGCGGCCGTATTCCTTCGCTCAAGTTCTACCCTGGGCCCTCCCACCCACTTGAGCTTTAATGTTTCTCCGAGTCTGCGCTTCACTGCTGGCGTAGCGCTCGTGGCCGCCCTCCGCCGTTCGCACAAAGATGAAACAAGATGGCCCCGAATCGTCCACATCATCATCATCATCATCATCATCATCATCATCATCATCATCATCATCATCGTCATCGTCATCGTCATCGTCGTCGTCGTCGTGGCGCCATTTTTGCTCAAGCGGCGTGGTGGTGCTGGTATAGACACATCGGTAACGCATTGAAGTAGTTTCACCTGCCATTCACTTTGTCTGGCCCTTTTGCCTCCCATAGTTCTTCGCTCGTTATATTCATGTTGGCTGCTGCCGCGAGCGCTGCTGCGGGAGCACCCGCCCCCGGTGCGACTTCCGTGCCAACCTTCGACCAGCAGAGGAAGGCCCGCATCGCTGTCGCCCTAGACGACGCCACCGCTAAGGAGGATGACCTGGCCGACGCTGAAGATCTGGCCCCGTCCGCTGGAACCGCCGCTGCAGCCGTCTCCGCGCCCGCAAGTGCCCCTGCTGTCGCTCGAGCTGGGTGGAGTTCGTCGCTTCCGCGCCTTGACCGCCAACTTCCGTAACATCATGGCCGGGTCAGTTACCCCACGACGGGTCGAAGTAGATGCGTGTTTGGTTCGTGTGAAGAAGATTTATAAACATGCATCCGGGGTCCAGAAAGACCTGCTGGCTCTGCAGTCCCGCGTCGTCGTTTTGGAGAGTGGAGGTGGTTCTGGGGATGGTGCTGCTGCTTTTCGTCGCTGTTTCGGGAGTGATCAGGGATTGTGGGATTGTCCGGTCAAGATGAAAAGGAACAACCCCTTCGACGTTGCCCGCCACAGACCAAACGCAGTGCCCGTATTGCGGCGACAGGCGCAGGTTGTGGCACACCATAATCAAGTACGCCAAGGAAATGGCCTGCCAAAACAGAACGATGCACGCCAAAGGTACCATCAAACAGGCCATCCTGGAGAAGTGGCCAGACCTCCCCGCCGAGGCAGCCAACATCATGATCGACGCTACCGAAGACAGGGTCCGTGATCCTGCTGAGGAAGGACCTGCCTTTCGATATCCTGATCAGAAACGCATGGCAGATCTTGATGCGCAATTTTGCCCACCTACAACCCGAAGCTACTCGGCGAAGGCCTTCCTGCTCGAGGAAGGCCTGGCCCCTCGCGCGTCGCCCACGGGAGGGGGCGGGGCGGGGGGACTGCGCGCTCGGGGCCTGGGTCTCGTTCGATGGCTGCGCCTCCCAGGCCGCAGCCCGAGGCGCTCCCGAGGGCGCGGGCCGCCGCTTTCGGGACGAGCCGCGCCGCCCTCTGCGGTGAGAGGGCGAACGGCGGGCAGCAGTTGGGCCTCCTCGGCTCCGCGGTTCGACTGAGCTGCGCATCGCTGCGTCGGGACCAGTTGGGAGCTGCCCAGTACCGCAGCCGCATGGTGAGACACATGTTGAGGTCGAGGAAGGGGGATGGGGAAACGATTGAGGAGTAAGCACATGGCGCGCGTCTACAGGGTCATCGGGGGACTGTTCGGAGGACCACAGATCACTCCGTGGGGCGATCACGTGCTGCTGCGGGGTCATCGTTATGCTGGGCACATCGCCAGAATGAAAGCCTACGACCCCGACCGTATAGCATACTATGCTGCCACACATAAGGGTTACTCTTACCTTCGCCACCCCGAGAGTACTCTTGGATGCCCGGGGCATCGTTGCAATTTCCACCAATGGCGCTGCGAGAAACAGTTCGTGCGCTACTTCGTCGACAGCTGGAAAGACACGGCGTGCGACGCCGACCGCTGGAAGGCCACCGAAGGTGACTGGCTAACTTCCCGGAAAGGACATGCTCGGATGTTGAGCGAATGGATTGAAGAGCAGGAAGAGAGATTATGAGGGCGCTTGGGTGTTTTTGGAATTGCCAACACTGTGCTGCTCTTTGTGCTTGATTCGAGCTCATTCTAAGGATCGGCTTGTTTTTTTTGCTCTCTCTCTCTCTCTGTCTCTTCTTTTGCTCTCTCTCTCTCTCTCTCCCTCTCCTCGCGCGTGAATGATATCCGACGTTCGCCTGGTTAGCCAGGCGCCCCTCTTAGACTTTGGGGTGCCCGGGCAGCCAGGGCACCGCTCGAAGGCCGAGCCAAGCCAAGCGACGTCTGGTCAAGTCAGGCCAGGTCAAACCAAGTCGTCGTTACCGTCGTCCTCGGCGTCGTCCTATCCGCCCTGGCCATCGTCGCCGCCTGTTCGCCACCGTCGTCGCCGTCGTCTGCATCCTCTCGGCAGCATCGTCGTCTTATCCGCCCTGGCCATCGTCATCGCCTTCTCGCCATCGTCGTCTGCCGTCGTCTGCATCATTGCCACGGGCGTCGTCGTCGTCGTCGTCGTCGTCGTTGTCGTCGTCGTCGCCGTCCTTCTCTTCACCGCTCCTCCAGCACGGGAGGAGGAGGAAGAGGAGGAGGAGGAGGAGGATGGGGAGGAGGAGGAGGGAGGAGGAGGAGGAGGAAGAGGAGGAGGAGCAGGAGGAGGAGGAGGAGGAGGAGGAGGAGGCCAGGCCTCCCGGCACGGACGAGCCAGCTTCCGGGCGTGCGCGCCGCTTCGGGGGGCCAGGCCGCAGGGTCGCCAGGGGGGGCGGGGCGGCTGCGGGCTCCTCTGTGGCTTCCGCAGTCCTGCGCAGGGCGCATACCCCAGCCTCCAAGCCCCAAACAAATCCTGTCCCTCCTGTCCTCTCTCCCCCCCCTCCTCCTCCTCCTCCTCCCTCCTCCTCCTCCTCCTCCCTCCTCCTCCTCCTCCTCCTCCTCCTCCGCTTCCTCTGCCCCGCGGTCCTCCTCCTCGTCTTCTTCGTCGTCCTCCTCCTCCTTCCCCTCTTACTTTGTCTCCTCTTCCCCTCTTCGCTGTCGTAGTCCTCCTCCTGTCCCTGCCTGTGTCCGCCCGCCTGTCCGTCCGTTCGCGTGCCATTCGCTCCTCCCCCTCTCTCTCTCCTCTCCGCCTTCATCCGACCGACTACGGCTCCGTGGCATTTTCTACATCTGTTCCTCTCGTCGCACCACCAGACGTGTCGCAAGCTCTGGCTGGGCGCTTCGCAGGAGCCTCCCTCGCCGCTGACGATCCCGAAGCTGGAAGTTCCCAGCGCGTCGCGGGGGCGGAGGGCGGGTGCTTTCCAGCATCTGGCTGCCTCCTCGGCGCCGGGCACGGTCGTCGTAGACGCTTCCGGCAGCTAGAAGGATAGACGGCGGGCTGTTTTCGACATGCGGCTCTTGCCTGAGCGCCGCACGCGTTCCTCGTACGCGCCTGCAGCAGCTGCGGGGTTGGCGGGCGGCCGGTCTTCACCATGCAATCCTCGCCTCACGCGTCCCGCGCATGCGTGTGGTCAACCCCCGATTCCTGCAGGGGTGGGAGGCGCTTCTTTTTCGAGTCGGAGCTTTCGCTGGTGACCTCCTTGTGGCCGTAAGTGCCCAACTTGGGTAATTGCGAGATGGATGGAGGTTAGCTCGCTTTCATCTCGGGTCGGGCGAAAGGGGGGGTTTGGGAAAGGGGGGGTTACGAAATCTGCTGCATGTAGCTGGTTTCGGCCCCACCGAGGGGCCCGTTCCTCGATACATAGCCGCCTCAGGCGCGGGGAGGCGCCGGGAAAATCAGCTACGTGAGCTGATTCTGACCCCCCCCCCCTTTGCTATCCCCCCTTTCGCCCGGCCCGATCATCGCTTGACACTTCTGACTACACCCTGGGCATAGGTGTACGACCGCACGAGACCTGCACGGATCGGGGGCGGGTCATTTCCAGAACGGGGTTATCGTTGGACTGCTATCAGGCCAGCCACAGCTGGGGGAGCTGTGGTCCTTACCCCCCTGGGGGACTCATCGATTTCGACACCCCTCTCGAGGGATCGTCGATGCGATGGGTACCCCCAGGGGGGTAAGGACCACAGCTCCCCCAGTTATGGCTGGTCGGATTATTTCTATTGCATTGTCCCATCCCCTCGTTTTCCAGGATGCACGGCAGCTCATGTTTTAAACGGGGCTATCCCCTGAATGGAAATGCCCGTTCGGCGCTTATCTTTCAAGGGGACGTTTCCTGCAGTGGGAAGGAGTACGTCTATGGACTTTTGGCGAGGAGACTCGAGACTGATAGGGTATTGAAGCGCCGTTGATGCATCCTGGATTTCTTCTTGCTCCTCCTCCTCCTCCTCATCCTCCTTGCCCCCCCCCCCCTCCTCCCCTCCTTGCCCATGATTGTTCCTCCTTGCACCCCTGTTCATGTTCACCTTCCTCGCATTCCCCTTTTCCTCCTCCCGCTCCGCCTCCTCTCTCATTTCCTATGACCCGCGCCCGGAAGGCAGTCGAGGTCGAGGCGCTCCACACGAGCCTGCTGAGCTTCCTGGAAGGCCTCGACGCGGACGGCAACGGCGTGGTCGACGTACGGGAGCTGAGCGCCACTTTCGAGGCGAGGGGGCGGCGAGGGGGAAGGGGCGCCACTCCTCCTCCTCCTCCTCCTCCTCCGCCTCCTCCTCCTCCTCCTCCGCCTCCTCCTCCTCCTCCTCCTCCTCCGCCTCCTCCTCCTCCTCCTCCTCCTCGAGGCGGATGGCGGATGGCGAGGGAGGAGGCCACGCCCTCCTGTCCCAAGTTTCCCCGTCGCGATTTCGTGCAGCCACTCCTTTCCACTACACCAGGAAGCACCCCACCCCTCGCAGTACGGGCGTTCTTTGGCCACGCCCCTCGGGCGAGCTCACCGTTTTGTGAAGGAAGCGCCCTCCATCGTGCGGGCTGTAAGAGATAATCGTAAGGATGGCCATGAAGTTCAGGGGCGCCGTGTTGAAACCGGTTAGCCAGCGTGGACCCCAAACAGTGCGCCCCTAGCAATGTATGTGGCTCAAAAGATGAGGACGATCAATGCAGTCTAGTCTACGTTTTGCAACTCATATTGTACAATAAATGTGTTGTCCAACTTATGCCATGCAGTAGATCTTGTGCCACACATACACATGTATGTAACACTAAGAATAATGATCGTAAAAGTACGATTCGTAAGCATAATATAATTAATAATAACGAACAAATGTGCCCCCCTGGGGGTCCCACACCTTCCCGTGACATCTGCGTAACGCTCCCGGTGCCGCGCTTCCCGGCCTCCCGGGGAGCCCCCAAAACGCCCAAGGACAGCCCACGACGACTCCAAGCAGCCCCCAGAACACAAAAGAACCGCCCAAGACTCTCCCAAGCAACCCAAGATAGCCTTCGGGCGGCTCTCCAGGCTCCCAAGAGGCCTCCAAGAGACTTCAAGAGAGCTCCGAGAGGCCTCCCGAGAGCGCCCGGAGAACCTAAAACCGTTAAGTTTCATGGTTTTGTTCTAAGTTTTTGGCCTTCTCACCATCTCATGCTTCCAACGCTCCAAACAGGCCGAAGAGGCCCCCAAGACCGCCCCCAAACCGCCCAAGAGGCCCCCAAGACGGCCCCAAGACGGGCCAATAAGGCCTCAAGACTGCCGAAGAGGCGCCCAGGACAGCTCCAGACCACCCCAGAGCAGGCCCAAGATGGGCCCAAGAGCGGGAGCAGGAGGCCTCCAGAGACCTCCGAGAGGACTCGGGTTCCCCCCAGAGGCCCCCAACACACCCCAGACCCTTGAGAGGCTCAAAGAAGCCCCGACGAGGCTCCCAAAACAGCCCAAGAGAGCTTCGAGAGCTGTCCCGAGAGAGCCCGAGGAGGGTAACATCGTTGGTTTCCAGAGTTTTTTTTTTTCCCCCCCCCCCCCAACCATCCTGTGGTGTTGGGTCCTCGTTTTGAAGAGACGGTGCCCCGCGTTCTCCTTCCTTCCTTCCTTCCTTCCTTCCTTCCTTCCTTCCTTCCTTCCTTCCTCCCGCTGCCTCCTCCCCCCTCCCATCATCATCATCATCATCACACCCATTTCGGCACACCCCTCACACGTTTCGTGGCTCCATAGGGAGCTCCACCGAAGGCCCCAGTGCCCGCGGCCGCATGCGTCCCCCACACCCATTTCGGCACACCCCTCACACGTTTCGTGGCTCCATAGGGAGCTCCACCGAAGGCCCCAGTGCCCGCGGCCGCATGCGTCCCCCACACCCATTTCGGCACACCCCTCACACGTTTCGTGGCTCCATAGGGAGCTCCACCGAAGGCCCCAGTGCCCGCGGCCGCATGCGTCCCCCACACCCATTTCGGCACACCCCTCACACGTTTCGTGGCTCCATAGGGAGCTCCACCGAAGGCCCCAGTGCCCGCGGCCGCATGCGTCCCCCACACCCATTTCGGCACACCCCTCACACGTTTCGTGGCTCCATAGGGAGCTCCACCGAAGGCCCCAGTGCCCGCGGCCGCATGCGTCCCCCACACCCATTTCGGCACACCCCTCACACGTTTCGTGGCTCCATAGGGAGCTCCACCGAAGGCCCCAGTGCCCGCGGCCGCATGCGTCCCCCACACCCATTTCGGCACACCCCTCACACGTTTCGTGGCTCCATAGGGAGCTCCACCGAAGGCCCCAGTACCCGCGGCCGCATGCGTCCCCCACACCCATTTCGGCACACCCCTCACACGTTCGTGGCTCCATAGGGAGCTCCACCGAAGGCCCCAGTGCCCGCGGCCGCATGCGTCCCCCACACCCATTTCGGCACACCCCTCACACGTTTCGTGGCTCCATAGGGAGCTCCACCGAAGGCCCCAGTGCCCGCGGCCGCATGCGTCCCCCACACCCATTTCGGCACACCCCTCACACGTTTCGTGGCTCCATAGGGAGCTCCACCGAAGGCCCCAGTGCCCGCGGCCGCATGCGTCCCCACACCCATTTCGGCACACCCCTCACACGTTTCGTGGCTCCATAGGGAGCTCCACCGAAGGCCCCAGTGCCCGCGGCCGCATGCGTCCCCCACACCCATTTCGGCACACCCCTCACACGTTTCGTGGCTCCATAGGGAGCTCCACCGAAGGCCCCAGTGCCCGCGGCCGCATGCGTCCCCCACACCCATTTCGGCACACCCCTCACACGTTTCGTGGCTCCATAGGGAGCTCCACCGAAGGCCCCAGTGCCCGCGGCCGCATGCGTCCCCCACACCCATTTCGGCACACCCCTCACACGTTTCGTGGCTCCATAGGGAGCTCCACCGAAGGCCCCAGTGCCCGCGGCCGCATGCGTCACCCACACCCATTTCGGCACACCCCTCACACGTTTCGTGGCTCCATAGGGAGCTCCACCGAAGGCCTCAGTGCCGCCGCCCGCATGCGTCACCCCCACCCATTTCGGCACACCCCCCGCATTTCTCGCACGGCAGGGTCATCACCACGGTGGCGTGCCAGGGGCGCACCATGCGCGAAGGCGACGGGGCGGGGGAACGGCGCTCCGGGGGCGGCCAGACCTCCGGGGCGCGAGCAGTCCGCGGCCAGACCATCTCTCGGTCCTGTGGACTCTCGCCCTGGGCCGTCGGCTGCCCGGCGCGCTGCTCCCTCGGTCGACGTCGCCCAGGCGTGATCCTGGATTGCGGCCGCCACGAGGTAGGGAACGGCAAGAAGGAGGACGACGACTGGTGGCTGGAGCTCTACGTGCTGCTCTCGCGCGCCACGCGCCACGAGGACCTCCTGCTCATGCGGGCGCCGCGCATCGAGTTCTTCCTGGCAGGGCCGCCGCAGGGCTTGCGGAAGCAGCTGGAGCAGTTTGCGGCGCGCACGAAGCGGTGCAGGAGGGAAGCGACGGCCCTCGCCAGGGAGCTCGGCTTCACCGAGTTCATCCGCGAGGCCTGACCTGAGGAGCGTCTCCCCCGAGCCGCGCCTTCTCTCGACTGCCCGACTAATTGTTTGGCCTCGCGCCGCGGACGACCCGCGCGCGTCGCTGGGACCCTCTCGGGGCGACCAGCGCGCGTCGCGGGAACTCCGTGCTGCGGGGGGCCCGGCGCCTCGTTCGCCCGTCGTCGCTCTGCCCAGCGGTCAGAGACTTGCCCGCTATCAGCCAGCCAGTTAGCTAGTCAGCTCTCTCTGCTTCGCGCAGCGGACGACCCGCGCGCGTCGCTGGGACCCCGCCCGGGGCGACCAGCGCGCGTCGCGGGGACTCCGCGCTGCGCTGCGCCCGCAGCCTTGGATTTTGGAGTGCGCGGGCAAAGAGGAAGGAAAAGAAGAGCCGAAAGCGGGCGCGATCCTCGCAAGAGGCGTGCCGACATGGGCGTCGCGACGTGCGGACGCTGCCGTCGGGGTTCCCGCGGAAGCTGCCTGCGGCGGCCACGCCCAGTGTCACGTGTGTTCGGACAGGCATGCTCGACACTTACACTAGGCGGTTCCATGATCGCATTCATGCAAATATATTCACTCGCGCGCAGACCCATTCATACTCAGATTCCCTCGCGCTCTGACTCACCCGCGTTCTTTTTCTCGTAATCAGATCTATCGTATTCCTTTGCGTTGTGTACCCCGCCACATGTCGGCACACCCCTCATGCGGTTCGTGGCCCCATAGGGAGCGCCACCGAAGAAGATACTCACAATTGCGATACTCACAACTGCATATGGTTGGGTCTTTCGCCAGGATATTTTTTTTTTTTTTTTAGTTTTTCGCCTTCTCATGTTTTCTCGCTTCAACGCTCAAAGGCCGAGGAACTTGAACCACTATGGAAATTCCAGGGATTCCCTTAGTTGGGACTCCTACTCCCTATTCTCTTCCTCGAGCCCCATCAAGACTTCGGGGTCACATGCAAATATTATTCGGGAGTGCAGTTGAACTCTCTCACGCTGTCTTGACACTCTCTTGGGTTGTCTTCGTGTCCTCTTGGCTGCCCCTGAAACCACAGTAGAAATCGAGATCCCATGATCCCATGAGTTGAAAAAAGAGAAAGGTTGTTTTCTTGCCAAACTCATCCCATGTTATGTTGTGCACTAAGTCCCCGAGAGGAATCCCAACATAACGTGGCCGGCACCCAGGAAAACTTCTAACCCACAGCCAAAACACGGCAACTTTTACAAAAAAGACAATTCCACAGTTCCTTTTTGTTTCAAGTTCGCCCCCCTGTCTACTTTTTGCACAGCGGACCACGATTAAGGCCCCCCGCAGCTCCCAGAAGTGAACCCGGGAGACCCTCGAGGGCCCCAAACCGTTGAATACCTAACGGGAATTAATGATTTCTGCGCTTCCGCAGTTCTGATTCCAAGGCTTGCGCAGGGCCTCCAAGAGAGTCCCGGGATGCAAGAAGCGACAAACATTGAGATTCTTTGCGTTCGCCCATCAAGCCTGGCTAGAACTTGAGCGCGCGCGAAGCGCGCGCGATGGTTCCAGTACGCGTAGCCCCCAGCAGTTGCGGATAAGGATGACGGGGCGGCGGGGACGCCGGCAGTCTGCGAGACTCTGAAGAAGGCCGCCGTAGTCGCAGAGTTTTTGAGCTCTACAACGAGCCCGCCGCAGGCGCCGATTTTTTGTTAAAACAATGTGGGTGGGTCGCGGATTGGGTTGCAGGTGGGTCGCGGGTGGGTGGACGGTCGGTCGCGGGTGGGTCGCGGGCCGGGTCGCGGGTGGGTCGCGGGGTGGGTCGCGGGTGGGTCGCGGAGTGGGTCACGGGTGGGTCGCAGGGGGGACAACAACGCAACAACGCAACAAGCATAATCCTCACTACGGATTCCCACTTCAGCCACGCACCCAGGGACAGTGAATGACCGTTCGGCCCCGTCATTCTGATATATATATATGCATATAGATATACATATATGTGTGTGTGTGTTTATACATATATATATATACACAGATGCATATCTATCTATATATATATATACACACATACACACACGTAGCACCCCGCAGTTGCGGATAAGAGTGAGGGGGCGGCGGGGACGTCGGCAGTCTGCGAGGCTTTGAAGAAGCCCGCTGCAGGCGCAACATTTTTTGAGCTATACAACGAGCCCGCCGCAGGCGCATATTGTTTCTTAAAACAATGTAGGTGGGTCGCGGGGTGGGTCGCGGGTGGGTCGCGGGGTGGGTCGCGGGTGGGTCGCGGGATGGGTCGCAAGCGGGTCGCGGGGTGGGTCGCGGGGTGGTCGCGGGGTGGGCCGCGGGTTGGTCGCGGGGCCGGGTCGCGGAGGGGACGACGCAACAAAACAACCATACTCTTCGTATACGAAGCTCGCATTTTGTATATTGAATGGGTCGCAGGGCGGGTCGCGGGGTGGGTCGCGTGTGGATCGCGGGGTGGGTCGCGGGTGGGTCGCGGGGTGGGTCGCGAGCGGATCGCGGGGTGGGTCGCGGGGTGGGTCGCGGGCGGGTCGCGGGGTGGGTCGCGAGCGGGTCGCGGGGTGGGTCGCGGGGTGGGTCGCGGGGTGGTCGCGGGTGGGTCGCGGGTGGGTCGCGGAGTGGGTCGCGGGGTGGGTCGCGGGGTGGGTCGCGGGGTGGGTCGCGGAGTGGGTCACGGGTGGGTCGCAGGGGGGACAACAACGCAACAACGCAACAAGCATAATCCTCACTACGGATTCCCACTTCAGCCACGCACCCAGGGACAGTGAATGACCGTTCGGCCCCGTCATTCTGATATATATATATATATATGCATATAGATATACATATATGTGTGTGTGTGTGTGTGTGTTTATACATATATATATATATATATATATACACAGATGCATATCTATCTATATATATATACACACATACACACACGTAGCACCCCGCAGTTGCGGATAAGAGTGAGGGGGCGGCGGGGACGTCGGCAGTCTGCGAGGCTTTGAAGAAGCCCGCTGCAGGCGCAACATTTTTTGAGCTATACAACGAGCCCGCCGCAGGCGCATATTGTTTCTTAAAACAATGTAGGTGGGTCGCGGGTAGGGTCGCAGGTGGGTCGCGGGTAGGTCGCGGGTGGGTCGCGGGCCGGTCGCGGGTGGGCCGCGGGGTGGGTCGCGAGCAGGTCGCGGGGTGGGTCGCGGTTGGGTCGCGGTCGGGTCGCGGGGTGGGTCGCGGGTGGGTCGCGGGTGGGTCGCGGGTGGGTCGCGGGGTGTGTCGCGGGGTGTGTCGCGGGTGGGTCGCGGGCCGGGTCGCGGGGGGGACGACGACAACAACAGCAAGCATAATCCTCACCACGGATCCGCACTTCAGCCACGCACCCAGGGACAATGATATATATATATATATATATATATATATATATACATACAAATATGATTCATTATTAATCAGCGAAGGACTCCGAAAACGACTTGCGCAAGGGCACGGAGCAAACGAGACAGGGGAGGGGAAGGCGCCTTCTACAATTTTACTCCGGCGCTCCTTCTACAAATTGGATTCAGGCGGCTCCTAGAACTTTCCTCTGGCGGCTCCTTCTAGAACTTCACTCAGATTCTCTGGGTTCCGACACGCGCGTTCTGATCACTGGACCGCGCCGTCGCTGGCGTCGTCGTCGTCGTCGCCACCACCTTCTGAAGGTCAGACCCCAGTCATGCGTGGATTTCACCACGCTTCCAGTCCAGGCAAATCGTACCAATTTTACTTGACTGTCTGGAGTGGGCCCTGAAGCGGCACGGGATGTTTTTCTTCCGTTTTCTCCTGAACATGCTCCTGCAACATCAAAACGGTAAGCAATTTTTCCCCAAAGCGGAAAACATTGCTCTGGGATTGGAGCCAGCAGCCAGAAGCGGAACCGAAAACAATTGCGACGGAACCAGGAAAAACGGCGCCGGAAACCTGGGGAAAACGGCAACACGGGACCGCTAAATCAAGTGCCTTGTCGTTTCCAGGGCCGACTGAGCTTTTCGCCCCCGCAGGGCCTACTCGACCCGGGCGAGCTGGCGGAAGTGCTCGGCGCGATCGACCATAGCGGCGACGGGCGGGTGTCCCTGGAGGAGCTCGCCGCGTTCTTGCGGCGCTGAGCGCGCGCTGAGGCGCTGCGCGCGCGGCGGGGGCGCGCTGGCCACGGCGGCGCGCTGGCCGAAACGACTGCGCGGCGTTGCTTTCTCCTCCTCCACCTCGTCCTCTTCCTCCATCCCGCTGCTCCTCCTGTTCATCCTCGTCCTCCTCCTCCTCCTTCTCCTCCTCCTCATCCTCATCCTCATCCTCTTTTTTGTTCGAATCCTCCTCCACCTCCCCTCCTCTTTCTCTTTATCTCCCTCCTCCCTCCCCCCACGTTCCTTCTCTGAGCTCCACCCTCCTCCTCCCCCATCGACTCCTCTTCCCCCTCGACGCTTCCTCCCTCTCCCCCCCTTCCTCCTTCCCCGCCCCCCCGCCCCCCTCTCCCTCCTGTCTCTCCCCCCCCTCCTCCGTCCTCCTCGATATTCCTCCTCCTCTTCCTGTCCTCATCCTCCTTCTCTTGCGGGCGGCTGGCGCCGCTCGCTTGCCGATGCTCGCCGGTGGGCCCCCCCGCGCCCGGAGCTAGCCAGCGACAGTGGCCGGCCGTGGTGCGAGCGCGGTTGGCCGCGGCAGCCGTGCGAGCGCGGGCGCGCACGCGCAGCGGCGCGGGGCCCGTCGCCGGGCGCCAGGAGGAGGAGGGGGAGGAGGAGGGAGAAGAGGAGGAGGAGGAGGAGGAGGAGGAGGAGGAGGAGGAGGTGCCGCGCACCAGGCCCTGAGGTCCGGGTGTCGCAGTGTTTGTCACGGCGGGCGCTCGCGCCCGGTGTTGCGAGCCCTGGGGCCATCGCACGTCGATCCGGCCCGAAGAGGGCGGCAGGAGGAGGGAGTTTGTGGCCCGTGCTGGTTCGCGGGGCCGCACTCTGTGCTCGCGTCGGCTGTCCAGGGGGCACGGGAGCATGCAGGATGATCTGCTTAAGCAGACCATCTTGCATGCTGTGTTTGGCATCACCTCATCCCGATGCCGATCTCAACTATTCCCTCCGTTTCTGAGGGCACATCCCCAAGATTGCCCTCGCTTCTTGCTCGCCCATCTTGGGGATGGGGATAAGTTCGAGGCTGGTGATGCTTGCTGGTGCAGGCACGTGGTGGGCTGGGGCACCCATGCCAAGTGGGCCCGCTGCAAGCAGCAGGTCGAGTACTTGTGCGCTGGCACGGCAGCAGCTGGCTCCGAGCGCGCCAGGGCCACGTTCCTCCTACTCCTGCTCCTCCTCCTCCTGCTCCTCCTCCTGCTCCTGCTCCTTCTCCTCCTCCTTCTCCTCCTCCTCCTCCTCGTCCTCGTCTTCCTCCTCCTCCTCCTCCTCCTCCTCCTCCTCTTCTGCATTGGGGCAGCCAGCGCCCAGCCGTTTTTGTGGGGCGAGGGTCACCCGTTCACTCCTCGCCCTTTCGCCCTCCCCGCCTTGACGAATGTCGGCCGTGTCCTCCCGCGCGCTCTGGGGTGCGCCTCGTCCCCGACCTCGTTTTCGTGTTCGTCCTCGTCGTCGTCCTCGTCCTCGTCCTCGTCGTCGTCGTCTTCTTCGTCGTCGTCGTTGTCGCCGTCTTCTCTTTTTTCCTCATCCGCCTTCTCCGCTTGAGGGTTTTTCGGCCTTGGCCACTCGCGTCTGCCTGTCTGTCTGTCGGTCCTCGTTCATCCTGTTCCTCCTCATTCTCTCCCTCCTCCAGCATCCTTCTCCCTCTCCCTCCTCTCACCTTCTCCTACTCCTCCTTCTCCACCCTCCCCAGCCTCCCACACTCTTCCTCCTCCTCCTCCTCCTCCTCCTCCTCCTCCTCCTCCTACTCCCCCCTCCCCCCCTCCTCCTCCTTATCCTCCTCCTCGTTCTCCTCCTCATCCTTCTCCTTATCATCCTCCTTCTCATCCTTTTCCTCCTCCTCCTCTTCCTCCTTCTCCGCCTCCTCCTTCTCTTCCTCCTCATCATCAGCATCAGCATCAGCACCAGCACCATCAACACCATCATCATCATCATCATCATCATCATCATCATCATCATCATCATCATCATCATCATCATCATCAACATCATCATCCTCATCATCATCATCATCATAAACATCATCATCATCATCGTCATCGTCATCGTCATCGTCATCAGCATCATCATCTTCATCATCATCATCATCATCATCATCTCACCATCATCATCAACATCATCACCACCATCATCAGTATCATCATCACCATAATCAGCATTATCATCGCCATCCTCATTACCATCAACATCAGACTCATCGCCGCGGTCATCATCATCAGCAACATCATCATCAACATCATCAGCATCATCACCAGCAACATCCCATCGTTATCGTTATCATCACCATCACCATCATCATCAGCATCATCATCAACATCATCAGCATCATCATCAGCAGCATCTGACCATTATCACTATCATCACCATCACCATCATCACCATCAACATCATCAGCAGCATCATCATCTATCCTGCTCCTCATCTATCCTGCTCATCGCCCTCCTCATCTGTCCTGCTCCTCCTCCTTCTCCTCCTGCGCCTTCTCTTCCTCGTTCCTTACACTCTCTTCACAGCAGTTATTGCTTGCGTTACTGGTCCGAGTTTGCACTCTGTTCTGCTCCTGCTGCTGTGGCCGATCGGCCACTATTGACCCCAGGCAAGTAATGAAGGAGTGTTCCCCCCTCGCCAAGAAGGGCAAAGAGAATCGCCAACGCATTTGGCATGGTTTGTTTCCTGGCCACAACGGCCTCACGGCCCCCGCTGTGGAGGCTGCCGTCTCCAGAGAGCGGCGCGACCAGACGCGCCGCATGGTGCCTGGTGCTGTGTGGTGCCCCGAGCCACGTGCACTGCGGCGCGCAGGACACATTCCTCCTCCTCTTCCTCCTCCTCCTCCTCGTCCCCGTCCTCCTTTTCCTCCTCCTCCTCCTCCTCCTCATTCTCCTTCTCCTCCTTCTTCTTGCTGCTCGCGCGCGCGCGTTGTTGGGCGCAGCACAGCCCCTCCGGCATAGCCCAGACGCCCCTAAAACGATCCTCTGCTTTGTTGCCGCTGCTGCTTCCTTTCCTTCTCCTCCTCCGTCGCCGCCCTCCGAGGAGTACGGGCTGCCCCCCGTCCTGCCGACGGGGTCCTACGGGTGCACAGACTGGGACGTGCAGCTGCGCAGCAGCGACGTCGGGCGCGCCACCGGGACCCCGATGCGTGGGGCCCAGCCTGACATCCACGGAGGGTGGAGGAGGCAGCGAATGATGAGGATGCTGTTGATGGGGATGTTTATGATTATGATGATGGTTGTGGTGATGATGGGGATCATGACGGTGATAGTTGTGGTGATGATGTTTATGATTCTGATGATTATGATGGTTGTGGTTTATGATTATGATGTTCATGGTGATGATGGCTGTGGTTTATGATTATGATGGTTGTGGTTTATGATTATGATGGTTGTGGTGATGGTGTTCATGGGGATGATGGTTGTGGTTTATGATTATGATGATGGTTGTGGTGATGATGTTTATGATTATGATGATTATGATGAG